CAAAGCCTATCCTTTCATAATCTCCCCTTGCATGTAAGAAATACACATTATTCACAACTTATTTGGTGAGGAAATGGTCACACACATGGATTTCCTTCAAACTTCAACATGGATTACACAAATTAAGCTCAAACATGGAAATCTATAACAATTCTTCACATGCATGCTTCTATTAGCCTGAAATTCAACATGTACAACTCAATTCCTTTTCATTCAAACTAATTCATGCTCTTGGCCATCTATTGGACTTGAATTCACAAGGTAGTGACTAACAATGCATGAATTACTCACCAAGGAGCTTAATCTTCACAATCTATGGTGATTCTTGAGCTTAACCTCCAAAATCTCCAAGCTTTAGGCTAAATAGCACAACCCTCCCCCTTTCTCTCACTATGGCCGGCCCCTCTCTCACTCTCTCAAATGTTTAACTCAGATTTTGAGTTCAAGAGGGACAAAGGAGGGTGTAATACCAATACACAATGAGCCCCACTAGAAAATATTTTAATATAAAAATGTTTGGGCACTTTATTCATCAATTTAATTAGTTTAAATTGACCAGAATCAATTTTCAATTAAATTTCACCGTAGGCTCTAAAATTTATGTCAATCACAATGGCGTAATCAATTCCGGGTTCTGTGGCCGATAAGGCCCTCAATTTAATTTCCAAAGCAGATTATTCAAACAAATATTCCTACGGCAAACAGATAGAGATTCAAGATTATATACATTCACATAATGGCACACAAATCACATCAAAACATATAATCACATACGTATTAGGGACCAATTCACATAATACAGAACAAGGGTATCACACATATAAAGTGTCCAATTTGATATTGATTGATTAAAATAATATAACTCAATACTTTTTTTTTTTTGGTTAAGTTTTTAGAAGATAAATTGACAAATTCCAAATGATAAATAGTATGGAGTATTATTCAAAAAAATAATGATTCATCAAAAAATGACTATGTATATTTAATGCACTTTCTTGAATAATTTTTAAATTAAATTTTTGAATTTGTAATATTACTGATAATGCACTTTCATGAGTTCTGCCAAAAAAGATATGCAAAAAACAAAAAAGCTAGAATAAAAAATTTGCAGTTATTATGACGTGTCACATAATTAATCAAAACCCCTTTATGAAATGAAATTATTAAAGATTATAGAGATTTTGTGTCTAATTCCCTTTGAGGACACTATTTATGATTTGAATTTATAATTTTGTATTCATCAATGTGAATAACTCTTTCGATTTTACTGATATAAGTATAAATCCTACTTCTAAGTCAACCCACTTTAAGCACTTTTTTCATATAATACAATACTTCAATATTGTCATATAAAAGTATTATAATAGATTATAATCAAATATCACTTGAAGTATAATTAAAAATATGACGCACCACTTTAGACATAACCAAAAACATAAGAAATTAGGAAAGACATTTTCGATTAATAACCAAAATAATACACTATGAATTTTAATCAAGTCATAATTTGTATATTATAGAATTTTCAGTTATTTTTATTTTTTTTAAGAAAAAAAATATTTTGATACAAGTGGAATTTATGAATTTTAATAAATTCGATTAACACAATTGAGAATTTGATTTTAGGTTGATAATACACACAGTAACAAAAATTTTCATCAACCATTAGTAAATCTGTATATATTTTTCTTTCAATTGTTATAATTTTCAACACATAAAGTATTAAGATTCAAAATTAATTTCCTATTTTAAAAATAAATTTCTATGTATTACATGGATCACCTACTTATATAATAATAAAATTACTAAAATTATTAATCGGAAAGAAACAAAAATCATCTATTCTAGGGGAATCGTGTCGCTCATGGTTTGGCAAAGGTTAGCTTTACACTCTGTATTGCCACCGGCTTGGATGGAAGATGATATCCACGTCAATAAATGAGAAAAATAATAATATCTGATAGTTTTTATAATATTACTCTATAAAATAACATAAATCGTTCACAACAAGAGATTGATTTATTAGTGAATCATCAGTAGTTGAGTCGTGCAATATATATGTTATTTTTTAAAATAATATTTTATGTTACGATATATGTATTATAAAAGAATAATATTAACTTTAATTTAAAATTAAAGTGTGATTCTAATTATTTATTTTGAGAATCTTAGCACTATCGTTCTATAAAAATGTTACTTGAATACTTATATATAATAATTTTAGTTAAATTATTTGTATATTTCAATAATTTTAATCCTATCGTACTATAAAAAAGTAATTATCATATAATGATTTTATATGATATATATTAAATTATAGGATAATAAAATAAGCAATCATTTTAATATTAAAAATAAGGATAAATTACAAATACATCCCATGAGGTTTACTTAAAATACAGATTATCTTGTGTGGTTTGAAAAATTATAAATACCCCATTGTCAGAAATTTGTATTTAACAGAATTAACTAAAAAAATAAAAATCATAACTGCTCTCCTATATAATGATAAAATTACCTGAATTATTATTTGAAATAAATTTCTAATATCATTAAAAATTGTTAATTGACTTTATAATTTATTAATAAAATAGGCCATTTGTTATGAAATTTGAAATTTCAAGGAGCGGGATGTAATTTCTAAAATCGTAGGGGTAAATTGTATTTTAAACAAACTCAGGGGTGTATTTAATAGTTAAATTGAAAGGATAATTAGTAGCATAAAATTAAAAGTGATTCAAATTATTTAATTTTGTTTTATATTCATTTGGAAAATAAAAATATGTAGAAATAAAAGTTACAAAAAATTTATTTAAAAAATTAAATATAAATATGTTGTAATTGGATTAAGAAAAAAAATACATACATTAATTATGTAGAGTATTGATTTTTTTTAATATTTTTTTTGAATTATTTATACATATTGTATATAGGTATATAAAATTTAAATTAAATATAAATATTTTGTAATAAAAAAATCATGTTAAATAAAAAATTCATGTAAATTAATCATAAGATATTAATAAGGTAGATGAAAAATAAAAATAAAAAAATATACATATTTAATATTTGATAGAAGAAAATTAATTCATAATGTATTATTCTATAGGTAGTTTGGATTAGATAAAATTATTTTACATATTAGATTTTAGTACTAATTAGGTATAAGGATATATTACTATGATATTTTTAAAAAGTAAGAGAGAACAACAATGATGCACCACATTAGAGAGAGGGGAAAAAATACATAGAGAGAGAAAAAATGAAGAAAAGAGACAAAAAAATACAAAAATTGATCAATACTTATTTTAAATTCCAATAAATGTGATTATGGAAAAAAATATATATATACGCGTATTGGTAAATTTTTTTCAGATTAAATTGTGCAAAAAAATAAAAAAATTCACGGTTTCGGTTACCGCAACCGTTACGCTACGACCTTTACACCCCACAACCGCATCACCGCCACCGTTACAGTGACCGCAACCACTTTTCAAAACATAGCCTGTACGCGACTCCGGAGAGGTGTACGTGCTTCATAGCTATCTGGTAAATCTCTATCAGTATATGTAGACAAGCTAGTCTCTATTCTAGACTAAGCCATTCAATTCTATTATTCGTCTTGTTTATATCATATTTACATATATTTTGAACTTTAGTTAGCACAAATCAAGTCGTACCAACATCCAAATTGTGAACATGAGTTCCTAGATGGAATGAATCATTATTTTTTCCGGCATGGCATTAGAGCTTTCTTTGTTATTTTCAACAAATACCCGACTAAGTAGTAAGGTCACTCTACTAACAGGATTTTAGGCGAATCTTTGAGGGTTTCCATCTATCCCTAGTACTTGGCCGTGCACATGCCCTTTCCAGATTGAGGTGATACCCTCCGTTGTCCAACCCTTGTATATTAGATAGTAAGATCCTCGACCATTGTCTCCAAGCAAGCTTCTTCTTCCTAGTCTTTGAGACTCTAGTTCATTGCATCTAGACCTCCATTACTGCTATCTCTCTCCCCTTTAATATTGTATTCAGTCTCCATCTGTCCATACCCTCTCACATACCTTGTTTATCCTCTAATGGCACCTTGTGTGTTATCTTATCAGCCTAAATCGAGAGAATGATTTAAAGAGCTCCTCAAAGTTAGTGTCATAGTCATGGGGCACTCAAATGACCCCATAGCCCTCACTTGGGATTTGGAGTCATGTGGCTTGATGGCTAGAGTTGGCGAGATCGTCAAGGTGCTCATCTCATCCTCTCTAGAGGGACTTGCAACTTAATCAGTATGAGAGAGATCTTCACATGAAGACATTCCGTAGATTAAGACAAAGGCACAATGCTTGTCATATCTTCTCATACCATTGGAGAATGCCTCACTGCCTCTGTAGCTTGCAAGTGCCTCACAGGATAATGCACTAACTGTTAAGGTTGGTCTACTAACGGAATCTTAGGCCAATCAAGGACTGCCACATGTCCCTTGTACCTGGTCGGGCACGTGCCTTCTATAAGCCTTGGTGATTGCTTCCATGGTCCAAACACTTTATTATATAGTGAGCCTCTTCTACTTTCCTCTCCAAGCTAGCATCTTCTTCATAGTCCTAGAGACTCTAGTTCATTGCTTCCTTAATATTGCCTCCAGTCTCACTCAACCCAACTCTAGTATTCACCGTCAATGTAGTGTCTGACATACTTCCCAAAAGGCTCCCGCCACTAGTCTACTCATCTCCATCCGTCCACACCAACAAAATTTACTGTAAATTTGAATCTTCCCAATATGAAAATTAGAGCCAATTGGTTGGCCAACAAAACTTATATATCTTGTCAAATTACTAAAAACTAAAAGGGTAAAAATAGGGATCATCAAAAGAGTTCCTAGAGATCTGAATTCAATACACAGACAAGAATTCAAAATTCAATTACTTGAAATGCAAGAACCATATGTAAAGTTATATTTAATCTCTCTCTCTCTCTCTATATATATATATATATATGTATGTATGTATGTATGTATATCACCATTTACACAACAATAAGATGAAATTAAGCAAACCTGAAAATGGAGGAATTCCCAATTCAACACCCATATGACCAAGAGCATTCCGTATCTCATTCTTATTGATCTTTCCCTTATCGTTTATATCCAAGTCAGTAAAAAGATTCTCCGCTAACATTGCAAAATCATCTTCATCCTCCAAAAACAGCCTTAGTGTTTTCCCATCCAAAATTGCTACAACAAGAGGCTCCTCTGCACATCACATTAAGTATAAGCAATTTCTCATCCCCATATCAGCAAAAGAGAGGCAACATAAAAAGGAACAAAATTGTGACAACATTCTTCTTTCTTGTTTCATTCTCAAGCTTTAACCACAACAAACTACAAAATATGACAAATTTTGAACTAGGAAGATTTTTGTACCCAAAATATAAATAATAAAACAATGGACTTGTAACCACAGGTTCTCTTCTTTAAGCCAACCAACTTGCTGACCACATATAGAGAGAGAGATATGCGGGTCTTGGACAAGGATAACACTATTGGTAGGCTGGCTTGTGGGAACTTTTGCACACATTGTCATGTGACAAAAACTCCAAGATAAAGGCAAGACACAAAATCTTGGCCATATAGAAAGCAAACATGAAAAAACTCTGAACATTTGTTGACAAATATCCCTTTCAATAAAAAAAATTAACTGCCAAATTTTCAAGTTTAAATCTATTGTATAACAAGAGATAGAGATAGAATTAAAACTCGGATCTGTTGAAACGAGTACATGCATTATACAGGGTCTGTCTGCTGACATATAAACCTTTTTTTAAAAAAACATTTTTAAAAAAGTAGGAGCTTTGCATTTTACTAAAAAATAACATGAAAACGTGGTTATTAAACATTCTTTCTAAGAAACCTTTTGGTAACAAATGCTTTTCAATTACCTGAATTTGAAGAAAAAGTATGCTTTTCATTTTTGTAACAATGCTTTTGAATATCAATAAGAATCTAGAAATCACAGTTACTAAGCGTACTTGAAAAAAGAAATACATGTTTAAACCTATTTCATACAATCCCAATAAAGTAAAAGAGAAACAAGTACAGATCGATTGAAAAAGTTGAAAATTCAAACCAATCAGATCAAACAAAAACACAACATTTAGAATTGGATCATCTAACACTACATTCAATCATCTATACGTATATTGATTTGTTATGGACTTGAAGTCAATCAATACCTTTAAGTTCATCGGCGATCGCAGTCATATAGTCTTTAAACATGGACAAAGCTTGGTCTTTTTCGAGCTCCGTTGACCGGAAACTGACGTCATCGATGATGTTGAAGCGATTGAGAGCAGAGGACTTGAGATTTTGGGGAAAAGAAAGGCCGAACAGAGAGGCCGAAACTCTGGACTCGGCTAGCTCGAGGAGCTGAGAGCCAGTGACGGTGCTGTTGGTTTCCGGCAGAGAGAGGTCGACGGACCTCAGGTGTGTGCCGTCGAGAACCGTTAAGCCTCCGTCGGACATTTTTATGAGTCTTGAAACTTAAGTGTTAATTAATAGGATTGGAGAATTTGAACTGAAAATTGTAGAGAGAGAGAGAGAGAGAAACTGAACCGCGTGGACCAGTATATGTATAAGGTTTCCACTGTTCAACTTTTACCTTCAATTGGGAATATACTATTTCAATTGAGAATAGAATACACTATTTTAATTCGGTTTTTGAGTTTTAATTATTTTAGTTTGGTTAAAAAAATTTGTTTAGAATGGTAGTTGATTTTTTTTTTTGTAATTAATTTGATAATTATAAGAAAAAAATTAAATAATTATGATATGAATTTGATATTTGCATTATTGATTATTTTAAATTTTTTGTTTTTATTGATTATGTTTTCCAAACTACAGGGTCATTTTCTTATACTGTCGTTTTCTATTCTGATTATACTCCCTCCGTTCCATCTTGTTGGTTCTCTATTCCATTTTGAAATGTCCCAAAATAATAGTCCCAATTGAAAAGTCAAGGTAAAAAATATTTGATTTTTCAAAACTATCTTTAGGTAATTATAAATATATTAAAATTTTAAAAAGATAGAAACATTAGTGAAAAAATATTTTGAAATTTGAATTTAAATATAATGGTTGCATGTCTTTTTAAAAAGTTGGAATTTTCAACCGTCAACAAATTGAGACGGAGGGAATAATTGATATCAACAAGATGTGTGTTTTTTTAAGGGACATTTACATATAAGTTTATTTTTTTTTTGTAATTAATTTGATAATTATAAGAAAAAAATTAAATAATTATGATATGAATTTGATATTTGTATTATTGATTATTTTAAATTTTTTGTTTTTATTGATTATGTTTTCCAAACTACAGGGTCATTTTCTTATACTGTCATTTTCTATTCTGATTATACTCCCTCCGTTCCATCTTGTTGGTTCTCTATTCCATTTTGAAATGTCCCAAAATAATAGTCCCAATTGAAAAGTCAAGGTAAAAAATATTTGATTTTTCAAAACTATCTTTAGGTAATTATAAATATATTAAAATTTTAAAAAGATAGAAACATTAGTGAAAAAATATTTTGAAATTTGAATTTAAATATAATGGTTGCATGTCTTTTTAAAAAGTTGGAATTTTCAACCGTCAACAAATTGAGACGGAGGGAATAATTGATATCAACAAGATGTGTGTTTTTTTAAGGGACATTTACATATAAGTTTTATTTTGTGAACTTAAACTCTACTAAACCTTAAATTAAAAAAAATTATTTATTCAAATCCTATTAATTTTTAATAGACAAAATTACCTTTCAAAAATAGTTGTTCATCATTTGTAATTGTTTATTAAAAAAAAAATTATGGTGACGTGACATTTATTTTAATTTTTAAAATTTAAAAATATCAAAATTTTAGAATATACATTTATTTTTAATAAACTTCATATTTCTAGAATCAGTACAACGAAATCCATCAAATAAGACTAATATTAAATATAAATTATATAAATAAAAATATTTTTTTTATTATAAATTTACAATTTAAACCCTTTTAATAGTAAATTTTCTTAACTTACTTAACTAATAATATTTACTTGGTCTAATTTTTTTTTATAAAATATATGGAGTTGGTTGAGTTAATTGAGACAAAATTTCATATGAAATTGGGGGGAAAAAATGCATACTTAAAATGATGAAATTACACAAAAAAAACTATAAATTTCATCTAAAAATAAAAAATAAAAAAAAAAACTAGATTGCAACTATGAAATTTATCTAAAATATATGATTCTTAATATTTGAAAAATATTTCAATTTGAATAAATTTTTCAATTTAAAAAGTTGGAAAACAAGTCAATTTACAATTTTCTTAATTTCTAACAACAAATTAAAATTTTAAACAAATAAAATATCTCTTTCATGCATAAACATATATAAGCAAATTGAGGAATATCTCAATCACAGGCCTTAGAAAACTGAAAATTTTCTTAATTGATAAAACAATTATATAGAATATTTCTATGAAAAACTGAGAAATTTCTCAGTTTTATCAGATAATTTTGCAAACTGAAATATTGTTAGTTTTGTATAGTTTAAAAAATAATATTTTATTTTTATAAAATTTTACATCCAATATTGGTTTTGTTTTATGGATGAAACACCAATAAATCTCAAAATGTGATCTTGTGAACTATTTAATCCTTCTTTTTTTTCTTATAAACCCAAAGTCATATTAAGTGGAAATTACACATTTGGATTTAATTTTTTAGGAATAAAAGTGAATTTTTCCAAATGTGAAATTACACATTTGGGCAATCCGTACTATAAAGGTTTTGGATTTTCCCTCCTTTTGGAACAAATCTCACATTAGAAACAAGAACTGCTGGCTTGGCTATGTTGGCCTAACCAACGTCCTCTTGCTGCATCGGAATATCATCTGGTAACGGCACCTTCTGCCGCCTAGGCCTACCACGCTTATTTCCACCACTATGTCCACGTCCTGACATCCTAATAAAGGTAACACAATAGATTAGTGTATTTACAAATGTACCAAAGTGAATTCACTCACGTCCTAATACGGTGGACAACAAATAATTCACTCCACATAAGTACCTAATCACATAAACACAAACTAACTTCATTTCTAGATAGTAACCATCCTGCGACATTACCAGAGTTCAAGTTAGAAATAACAGTGATCAAGTGTTCTTTTAACAGAACTTCTAGAAACTCATAGACCTAATCAATATCTAAGAAATTAAATCTCTTATTTATTTAGCTACACAAGCATGTTATCACATAGCATACCAGGTTTACTTCTAATATCATCTAGCAAGAGAATCCATTGTGGTAAAAATCACATCCCATGATCCCAAAGTATTCAAACTAGATGGCTCTGATACCAAGTTATCACACCCCAAAGTAAATAACAATAGTCCATCTTACAACATTACTTACAATTGATTAATAACATCACATCTTCTATTCCATTTATAACTTTGATCAATACAAAAGATGGCGTATGCGATATATATTCATAAATCTTATATTCTGAATCTATAGCATATGAAATTGATATATGAATTTAAAGTAAAAGTAAAACTAAATAATTATATGCCTTAATGGCTACATTTTTTCAAGTCGATACTTGGGTACAACAAAATGAGTTTAACTCAATACAAGTAAAGACCGAGACTTAAACAAAAATAATTACATCAAATAAACAAAATGAATCCCTTGGCTTCCAATCCTCCCAAGCTACCTCTTTGATGGAGGCATATCATCAGCATCTGATAGTTATTTTCTACATAAGGTGAATCAAAACCCAATAGAGATACTCTAACAGAATATATGAATCTTAGGCCTCGTTTGTTTTCAGAAATAGAATGGAGGGGATTCATAGTGAGGGGATTAATAGTGAGGAATTGTTAAATTATTTTTATATAAAATAATAAAACAAATAAAAAAATATAAAAAATTAAACATTATATTTTAAAAAAATTCCCAATTTATAAAAAATAAAAATAAAATAATTTTTTTTTAATCCCCTCACTATTTTTCTAATACCATCTCTATCCCATCCTTACCAATCCCCCTTCCTCCTCCTTACAAATACCAAGGGATTACTAATCCCCTCCATATCTCTCAAAACAAACACCCCATTCTCAATCCCCTCCTCATTACCAAACCCAATCCCCTCCCTACAACCCCAAACAAACGGGGCCTTAACAAAGTTATAAGGTGAATGCACATGCATGCTGTTTGTCAAACATTCTTCATTTTTCATCTTAAAAAAATGCAATACCAGATTATAAATCAATTCATGAAATAATCCTTTTATAACAGAAAACAGGACAGTTGATACAAAACACTAGGAATCTCAAAGTACGTTTATGCCAGTAAGTTATACAAACACTACTAAAGTCATTTTACCAGTACTAACCGGAAGGATTGGCACCTAACCACACGGGTTTTTGGACTTTCACCAAAGACACACAGACCAACATCATAACCACAACCACACGCCCTAACCTGATTCATCAAGGTATTCGCCAATTTTCTCAAAATCAATACATTTACAATGTTCAATATGAAATGATGCTCAATGCACAATGTATGAGAAATTAGTTTCAATTTAACCTAATTCTTATGCAATGTCTACAACAATCAAGACCATCCTCCACTGATAGCCCAAAACAGATATTTCTACTCAACAAATAATTTGTTCAACAATAGATAAATCTCAACATTTTCAAAATGGGAGTGATAATAAATATTCAATTCCACTCTTATCGTCAACAGATACATATTCCATATTTATTCAAGGCCCAACATCTTTTCCTTTACTTCCATAAACCAAATATTAATGATTTTCAAACAGGATCTTCCTTGTTCTTTAAAATCTCATTTAAAGAGTAAATTTCCAAAATTTCAACACAACTTAACAATAAATACACTTTCACAACATTCTCAAGCATTCATTTAAAAAAACCCATTTGTTACTTTTCCAAACCAAACCTACGTTCAACCACAAACCCTTAAATCACTAACCCCTTTCAAAGAGCAAATAACTAAGTTAAAAACCATATTAAAGGTTGAACAAATCCCTATCTCAAAGTAGAAGACAATAGAGAATAAGAGTTGAACTTTGGTAGAACAGAAAATAATAACTCATCCGATTAAAACTAAACCCTCGACGTGCTTTACCTTTTCTTCCAAAGGACTAGGGTGAAGAAACTAATAGATTTAGGGTATTTGGAGCTAGAGTACAAGAACTAGAGAGAGAGAGTAAAAATTTTAGGGTTTTGAAATCTTTAGAGAAAGAGAGAGATGAAAAAATGACTCAAAATGGCCTTTTCTCGGACTGATATACGCATAGATCGCTCGAGCGACCAAAACACCGCTCGAGCGTTAGACATAATAAGTGACACCACTCGAGCACACAATGACCCCCTCTTAAAAGTTCAAACCTACAAAAGAACGCTCGAGCTTAAGAAGTACCGCTAGAGCGAAGCTACCACACTTCTAGTAATTTTACGGACTGTAAAATACCACTCAAGCGTAAGAAAGATCACGCGAATGAATAGGCAAAAATCTGTGTAACAGCTCTTTGAAAAACTAACT